TTTTTTTTTTTTTTTTTTTTGCAATTTTTTAATGAAGCAAAGTAGCAACATTTTTTGTCTTAATATAATGTGGACATTTTCCTAAACTGCAAAAACACAAAATCTTGCCATGTAATTATGGTCTAGCAGTTTCTAATGCAAACATCTTAGGACACTTGAAATAAGACAAAACTTAAAGTAACTGTTCAGCAAAAAATATTAACTTGTTTTAAGTCAACAATGCCTTCATATTTATGAAAACATTCTAGTTCCTATGGGAAGTTATTCCTCTTATTTTGCTAACAAAGGACACTGCACCGTTACCTAGCAACTCCAGCCACGCCCAGTCCGTAACCTAGCAACCCAGTTCAAGTTCCATTGACAGATTATTTCATAATTTGCCATTGGACCTGGTAGTTTTTCATCAATATTAAGGAATTATTGACTTAATGAAAAGTGTCATCTTGAAGAAATCTAAAATAGTTCTCTCTTATTTTAAACGTACTAAGTTATTTGCACTAGAAGCTAAACCAACATTACTAGATTTTGTGTTTTTGCAGTGTAACTTTAATTATTTTTTTATTTTGGTCAAGAATTTTTTGGTTTATTTCTAGCAACACAAATGAGAACTTTCTTCAAAAAAATAAGTTTATTAATAAAATAAATGTACACCAGTTTTTTTCCACAAGTAAAAATTTGTAGGTACTTACTATGAAATTAAATTTAACACTTTCCATTATAACAGAATTAAATTCCCTAAAAATGATTTTTTTTTTAATTACCACTAGAGCAGCAAATTTGTAGCATTGTTGAACAGTGAGGGGCCACACAGAATTGTTCCAAAGGCCACAAATGGCCCCCGGGCCACATTTTGGACACCCCTGAGTTAAAGCATGGGTGGATTACTCAGCAGCAACAATGCTTGCTTTTAAAAAACTTCTACAAGGATAACAGGAGCAGCAGTAAAGACGCTTTGTGGTTCATGCAGGGAATCAATTCTGCTGCAGAGAATGTGAATATTTAGATATTTCAGAAGAAAAACGCTGAAAAATTGATCGTTTTTATTTTTCAAGGATTTTTCTCTCCAGATAATGTTGATGCTACTTTGCTACCTATTTGTAAGCATAAGGAGTGGGAATGATGTGGCATTAAGAGTCATTTTCTGTCCAACAAAGATTTTAAAAAGTAGCAAGTTTTTAAAACATTCTGCACTGAAAAAAGAGAACAAGTGATCCAACTTTAAAAATTAAGTTTATCCAAGTAACTATATTAAGTTTATTAAGTTGTCATGTTAAACAAACATAAATAAAGTAAGTTTGACCAACTTAATTTGATTACATGTAACAAATGAACTCTTTTTTTTTTAAGTTGGAGCCCAAGTGTTTTTTTTCAGTGTAGTTAATCCCAGCCATCACAAATTTTATGGGACCCATGTGGATTTCAGTTTTTACTTCACAATGGGACCCACTTAGCTTGACTAATTAAAGCCTTTGTCGGTTTGCATTGTTGGCTTGACAGCTAAGTGTCAATCCTTTTGGGGTAAAGGATGACTTCTCACCAGCCCTGCTTAACCCACTTTAATCCAACTCTGGTCTGCTTTTCTAAAAACTTTGGTTCTAGAAACAGTTAATCAGTTGTGAATGCATAACTGAACCAAAATAATCCAACTCTGGTCCGCCTACAAACCTTGGTCTTGGATCGGTTGAAGTGAACTCTGGTGTGGTTTGAATGCATATATATATGCCAAGCGGACTGTAAACTGCTCCAAAAGCAGGAAGTGGACTTCTGCGCAGGGCATTCTGGGTAAATACAACCAAAACAAACCTGATAATTAGCGCTAGCAGGAAAAATGACTTATAGTTTTGTTTTTTTTTGTTTGTTTTACTAAAGACAAAAGAGAAATCTTACAATCCTAAAATCTGATAGTTTTGTTTACATTTTTTGTGGAGAAGGAAGTTGGTTTCAGTGTCGTCTTCAGACGATTTTGTGTCGTTTCCTTCAGTGGTTATTGTTGCAGCGCCCCCAGAGGCGAGGAGGGGAACAGTGAGGTGTGAAAGAGAACCGCTCCAGCTAAAAATATAACAAATGTTGCAAATTTGGTTCAATATCAGGTGGGAAAAACAAATCCGAGATGCAGACCGCTCCAAAAAGCAGGAAGCGGACTACAAAGCAGGGCATTCTGGGTAAATCCAACCAAAACAAATGAATGAGTCTAGCGCTAGGATGGTCTTTAGCCAAAAACAAAAGAGAAATCTTAAAATCTGATGCTACTCCATTTTTGTTTACATTTTTGCAGAGATGGAAGTTGCGCTCATTGTCTTCTTCAGAGGTTTTTGTGTCGTTTCCTTCAGGGGATCTTGGTACAGCGCCCCCACAGGTGAGAAAGGGAACAGGTCTTTCAATTAGTTTGGATGGTTTGACTCAGTGTTTCAACTTTGGTTACCTATCAGGTGGGAAAACACATCTGAGATGGAAACCACTCCAAAAAGCAGGAAGCGGACTACAACGCAGGGCATTCTGGGTAAATACGATCAAACCAAACGTATTGATCTCGTGCCAGTGGGAAAAGGGGCTTGTGGGTTTTTTTTAAAACCAAAAACAAAAGAGAAATTAAAAAAATCTCATGCTACTTCATTTTTGTCTATATTTTTGTGAAGAAGGAAGCTCGGCTCAATGTCTTCTTCATGTCGTTTCCTCCAACGCCGCCACAGGCGAGGAGAGGAACTGTTTTTAATTAGTTTGGATTGTTTGACACAGTGACCTCAGCAGCTGAAAATGTTGTATTTTTGTTCCCTAATCAAACCGAATCAGGTGTTTTGAGAAGGATCTCTTCGTTCTGCATCCGGAGGGACTTCTGGGGCCTTTTGGACGCCTCTGCGCCCAGAGGTTCGGACAAACTGAATCCGGCCCTGGCTTAAAGGTTGACAAAAGGGCAGCAACCGGACTCCTAAAAGTCCAAAAACGACATTTCTGTGTCTGTTTGACGGGCAGAGTGAGACCCAGAGGGTTCGGGGATAAAAACGGAAAAGCTCCTCCATCCATGCAGAATCCTCTCCATCACCCCGCAGCCGCTTGTCAGGTGTGTGCGTTCACCTGTCTACCGCGTCCCGCGCAGTCATCCGGAACTCGACACGCACTCGGTACGGTTCTGCACCGAGGCGGTGATGTTCGACGCATCGGTGCTGTTCGACGTACTGGTGCTGTTCCCGGACAGAGAGTTAGATTTCCAGAAGAACGCGTAGTAGATGGCCAGGATGAAGGCGGCCACGGACACGCTGAAGAAGTAAGCGATGGCCATGGCCACTTTCACCCAGATCTTGGCCGACATGTTGGCGTGCTTGGCCCGCAGCTCTCCGGGGTAACTCGGCCTCCGCTTCGTGTCTCCGTTCGGCGTCTCGGAGGACACCCTGACCTGCCTGCCGACCGCTTTCATCTCGGAACCAGCGCTGGAATCTGCTCCTCAGATGGATGCGGTCTGTTCATTTGAGTCCGCGGCGGTCGGGACGGGTCTTCCTCAGGCTCTGGTGCCGGTCGCAGGGCAAGCAGGTTCGGGTTCGGTCCGCGGGACGCTGCAGCTCCGTGACCCCGCAGAGTCCTCTGTGCGCACCGGGCAAACTGAACTCACTGATGCTTTCCAGGCATGAGCTACATGGGACAGCTGTGAAGCTGCGGGGAGCCGCACAATGAGCTTCCGGTGCGCGCTTTCAAAATAAATGCGCGCAACTGAAACGTGTCGTTTAAACCAAATACGATTATATGGAGCTAAACTAGGACGAATTAGTTAGTTCAAAGAAATAAAAATTATGCTGGAAAAAAAGTTTTGATACTGAAAATATATTTTTAAACATAAAAAATATGAAGCTGATAAAAACGTTTTGAAACTTAAAATAAAATGTTGAGCTACTTTTTGAACAATAGTTTAAAAAAAGTTGTTTTTTTTCTATTTCAGATCGATTTTTCAGCTTCAATAGTTTTTCTTTTTAATAAACTTTATGGCCCAATTTAGAACAATAGGGATTACAGAAATTTAATGTGCAATTTTGGAAAGAAAATAAAAAATGAAAAATGTGGCATAAAGAAACATGAAAAACAAAACTGGATCTTTTTCTATTTTTGTATTCTTATGGGGACTTTTTAACATGCAAAATGTGGTTTTCTAGAATTTTCATTTAGTTATATATTGTGTTTATTATTCTTTTTAATTGTGTATAAGCTGCAAATAATTTTATTTACTATTACTGTTTTTAATAGGGGCAGCATTATCTATTTCAGGCATATCATACCATTTCATAGCACCACCATGTAGCTATGTAACCATTAGTTGCTATGAAAATGCTGTGACTTGGAAGAAATTTGACTTTGTAATTTAATGCCTTGAAATTGGGCCTCTGTCTCTTTAAGAAGCTCCTGCTCTGACACTCGGCTTTCAGGAAGTCAACAACAACATTACTATCATGTTTTTATATTTTTGATAAGGGAATATAATTATAAGATTTTTTAAGATAAAAAAATAAATTAGGACAGAAATTATACAATAACATAAAGCTAATAAAAGTCAATTTCAATCTAAACTTTCTAAAATACTTTAAAACAACCATATTTGAAACAAAGTATGACTATGTACAAAAAACATAGAAATATGATAAAAAATGAAAAATTCAACAGCAAAAAAAGGTTTTTGCTGTACATTGGTGCCACAAGAAATGATTGAACTAAATTTAAAAATGCAAACAATTCAGTAATAAGTAAATAAATTAATAAATAATACATACATCTGCATGAACAACATATGACTAAATAAGTGATATATATTTCATTAGTGAATAAATTGGGCCATCTAAAGTCTTTATGGCTTTTATAGTTGAAAAGTTGTACTTTAAGTATCTTTAACCAGAGATTGATTGACAGTTTGTTAATTCTCGTTTTAAATAAGAATTCCTGATAATGTCTGATTAAGATTTTATTTTGAAAAGCAGCCAGCATCATTTCCTGCCTCGCTCTTTGCGTTTCTGTTCGACTTAACGCCGTTTGGGTCGAGGAGGAGCAGAAAGGACGCAACATCCAGCGATTGGGTCCCAGTTTGAGAGAAACGTCCCGCAGCAGAGACGAGCCGCTTCGGAACCAGAGAGGTTCTGGTTCTGGTTCTGGTCCGGGAGGGAAAACTATGCAGTAAGGAAAACTACAGCTAGGCTTTTTCGATCATAAAACAGACAAATCATCCCCATGAGCTCCGAGATTTATCAAATAAATAAACAGAAATGATAAAAAACAAACAAAAAAACTTTGATTTTAACGTATAAGCACCGATTTATTTAAATCAGTAAATCAGAGAGATTTGCTATTTTGGAGCAGCAATTATCTTAATTAGAGAAGCAACTGTTGTTCCTTATTAATCTGTGGAGGATTATGAAACGGTTTCTAAACTCATTTTTCATTCGACGGAAGACAAAAATTGAGTCACAAGTTGAAAACATTAATAACAAAAGCAGGTTTTTCAGCAAATTCAACACCAAAATCGATTATTCTGATGATTAATTGGATGATTAATCAGATTAATAATTTAACCACTTAAGCTTTTGTATACATTAGAAATACATTAAAATATGCAAATAAGATGACTTAATTCATTTTAATTAAATTAAACATTCTAACAGAATTTCTTACATATAAAAAGCACATCTGCAGATTTTTCATGCAACCACTTAAGTTTACTTTGTGCAGTATTAGAAATGGATGAAATAAATGCAAGTAGTTTAATTAATTTTCTAAATAAGAAAAAACACTATATTACCTGAAATGCAATATACAAATCGTCGATAATTTGTTGCAATCTGCAGCTTAAATATGTTTCTGACATCAACATATGAAAAGCTGATCTGATCTGGTGATTAAATTTTTCTAACAACCAATATTAATCAGCTACCAAAATGTTCAAATAAGATATTTTTAAAATTAATTTTCTTTTTTACAGAAAAGTAGATGCAAATGATCGATTGTAAAGTTGATTGATCATATATGATCGATATATCGGTTGACTTACGATTAATCAACAAGC